GCAAAAAGGCCCCTCCTGCTGGGAACTTATGGGGCCAGGACTGGGGAGTTTGGGGGGACCTCATTTTCTGATCTGCCAGCCTCACACTACCTCCAAAGTCTTCCTGAAACTGTTTCCTCAACCAGGGAGTCCAACCTGACTCACCTGAGAAGGAGACATAAGAGGAGACGGTGGAGAATGGGATAGTTAAGTGACAAAGGACCAACTCCTGTCCAGATCTCCCGCCCGGCAAAGGATTTAAGTGCCTGTTTTGTTCCCTGAGCTCCTATACTCCCTGCCCTACATATTCCCAGCAGGCCAGGAGGGCATGAATGGGGAGACCCAGCTTGGCTTTGTGGTCCCACCAAGACAGTTCTGGTGGTGCTGCAGCTCTGGGCCCAAGCAGTGAAGGCAGAGACGCAGCCTGGCTGCAGCGGGGACCAGGGAAACAGCTGGGGCACACGGAGCATCTTTATGGCAGCAGAAGGCAAGCTTAGCCCAGGCCCCTCCTCCATCCTCCACCTGGTGGAGGTGAAGAACTCAGGTCTTCCCAGAAGCCTCCCACCTGCAAGTCTGAACAAGGGGTCCTCACTGCCATCCGTTCCTCTCAAGTAGACAAGGGCCACGTTCCTCGCTCTATGGTTTCTTGTACCTTGGCCTCTAAGACTTTTATTGCTTGTATTGTCATTTACCTTTTCATGCCTGTTAGTCTTGTTTCTGAGAGGGACTGTGTTGTTTCTGGACCGTATGCATAGCTGCATCCCCCATAATACCCACAGGCACATAGTAGGGCTCAGCAGTTACTTGTTCAACAAGTGCCTGTGCAGGGAAAGTTAGGACCCGTCCCACACTCCCTGCTATTTCCCCGCACAGCTACCATAGCACACGTCCTCAGTCACCTTCTCTCTTGGTTCATTTCTCTGTTTCTGCACTGAGTCCTGGAAATAGGACTCTTATCCACCCCTGTTGGAATCCTCCTTGCCCAGCACAGTGCCTGGCACACATCTGTTATTGGCATTCATTCACTTAACTTTTATTCCATTCCTTCTTCCACTGCTGTCTCATATGCTTCATACACATTCTCTTTGATATTTAAACCGCAATTCCATAAGAGTCCATAAGGTGGGTATTCTCCCATTTTACAGATGGAAAAACTGAGGCTCAGAGAACTTAACTGGGGACATCCAACTTATCAGAGGCAGAGGTGAGATTCAAACCCAGGCTCGCCTGGTGCCCAAAGCCAAACTCTCTCTTGCAGGCCCGCAGGCACCTCAAGCCTCAAAGCAAGAGCCTCTCTTGTCAAACCCTTCCAGGCCTGTGGGATACAGAGGCTGCATCACCCTAGTAGGAAGCCTGCTTCTCCTGGGACCCAGGGAGAAGTCTCGGAGCTCAAACCTGGAGGTTTCCATCACCATGCTGGGAGCACGGGAAGCGGGTGTTTTTATTCCTTGTGGCCTCATGGCTGTTTCCTATAATGTATCCGCCCTGGAGAATGCCCGGAAGAGGTGGCTTCCGGCTGGCACAGGGAGGAGAGGGCCTCTTCCCACCCTGCAGAGAAGGGGTTTTCGCTCCAAAGCGGCAGCTCCCTCTGCCTTACCTTTGGACAGGGAGTATGGGCGGGTTTGAGTGGAGGGTCTGGATTCTGCCCCTTGTCTCTTCAGATCAATTAACAGTTATTAAGCATCCTCTAGGTGCAAGGGACCGTCTGAGATGGACTCCTGGCATTGCCACCAACCAGCTGTGTGACCTTGAGAAAGGTATTCAATTGTGCTGAGGCTATTTCCCCATCTGAAAATGGGAGAACGATACTTATCTCATTGGGTTATTGGAACATTAATACAAAAATATAAGCAAGGAGCTTAGAACAATGCTTGGCACACAGCGAGTATTCAGCAAACGTTCAAAAGCATGTGAGAGATAAACAGACACTACCCTCCGTGTCAGTTCTCATCTGTAAATTGCTCCCCATTTGCCAGTGAGAAAGCTGACACCAATAGTAGCTGCTCCTAATTTACAGATGGGAAAATTGACATAGACAATAAGAGTGAAACTGGGACTTGAATCAAGAGGCCCTGGTTCCAAATCCTCTACTCTTCACAAGCCTCAGCACTCCATTGTAGCTCTCACCGAATAGCGAAGTGACACAGCTGGTGAGTGACAGAGCCAGGATTCCATCCCAATCCTGTAGAATCAGAATTAGGAAGTGATGAGGTGGGGTATTTATTATATTCACTTTTAATATAATTTATTTAATTAATTATAAGTTTGTATAATTTACTATTTAATAATGGCTGTGTTTAACAACTGACTCTCAAAATACCTGGAAATTTAGCAATCAGCTCTCATGAACCAATGCTCTACAATGACCGATTACTTCTCAGGGCTCTTGTAAAACTGAAGGAGATAAGGTCAATGTCAACCATCGGTGGACTGGAACCATCTGTGGGGCTTTGGGCAAGTTTCTTAACCACCGTGTGCTTCAGATTTTCCCCATCTGTAAAATGAGGCTGTCATGAAGATTGCATGAGAAAATGTATGTAAAGAATCTAACCAGGGCAGATCCAGGGTGAGGCAAAATTCAACCTGTGATGAGAACCTACGGTACAAAATTCAACAAGGCGCTCCCTTCTCAGGGTTGCCCTAGTGCAGGGTCAGCAGTGGGGCGTGCCTTAAATTTTGTATGCTAAATGCCTCACTTGCCTCACCCTAGTCCCAACCCTATGCCTGGCAAGTAGTAGGTAGTTGCTGTTATTACCACAAGAGCTTCCAGGAGGGTGTAACCTATCAGGGTAAATAAGACTTACAGGCCGGAAAAGTTACCTAACAATATGTTGTTTGTGAGAAAAACAACAGCACGGTACACTGTCCTAAGGCATATGGTAGATATCCCATGAGCCTTTCAGATAATGGGGGTTAAATTTCCACAATAATCACCACAGCCTGAGGATACTGAGCCATCTCTAGGAGACCCAGGGCTGTCTCTGGAAACAGCCACTGAAAGCAAGAATTTCTTTGCATTAATTTGAAAGATAAAAACACTAGTCCTCAAATGTACTTTCTACTACATAGTAGGTAAACATATGTCTTATTTTTCTCCCCCAAAATCTTTTCCAGTAAAACTGACGCCTGGGGGAGATGGACCTGCTGACCTGTGGTTTCCCAAGCTCCCTGACACCCCACTGTGCTCCAACCACTCCTGGGGGGGATGGGGGTGGAGGACGCTGCTCAGATGCTGGCTGTGTTCTGTTGGGAGAAGGAGAGAGCTGTGCAGGCTGAAGGCAATGAGATGTCTCTGGTTGAGGGATAGGGAAGGGGTACTGGGGGGTGGCTTAGAGAAACAGGACCAATAGGCCATATAGAGGAAGAGAGACCTAGAAAGAGATTTGCGGTGAGGGGTTGGCTCAGGTGATTACGGAGGCTGAGAAGTCCCACCATCTGCCATCTGCAAGCATGAGGCCCGGGAAAGCTGGTGGTGTAGTTCCAGTCCAAACCTGAAGGCCTGAGAACCGCAGGGGCTGACGGTGTCAATCCCAGTCCAAGACCAGGTCCAAAAACCTAAGAACTGAGGGGCACGTGGTGTAAATTCCAGCCTGAGTCCGAAGGCCTCAGAACCAGGAGGACCAACATCTGAGGACAGGAGAAGATGGACATCCCAGTTCAAGCAAAGAGCAAATTTGTCCTCCATCCACTTTTTTGTTTTATTCAGGCCCTCAATGATTGGATGATGCCTACCTGCACTGGTGAGGATGATCTTTACTCAGTCTACAGGAAACACCCTCACAGACACACCCAGAAAAATGTTTGACTGGCCATCTGGGCATCCTTTAGCCCAGTCCGGTTGACACATAAAATTAACCATCACAGGGTTGATGCCTTGAAAATTCCTAAAGTGTGTAACATTTTGAAGGAAGTCAATTCTTAAATCTCTAAATCATTTCTCTTCAATGCAATATTTGAGCAAATTCTGGACTAACAGTGAGGTATTTTGATAGCACTGGATTTGGAATTAAAAGACTTGGTTTTGTGGAAAGTAGATGGGCTATTGCTTAGGGCTGGGAGGGTTTGTGGGGGAATGAGGGTGGATGGCTAAGGGATGTGGGACTTCTTTTGGGGGTAATGATGAAAATGTTCTAAAATTGACTCTAGTGATGGTTGTACAACTCTGTGAATATACTAAAAACCATTGAATTGTACATATTAAATGGGTGAACTGTATGGTATGTGAATTCTATCTCAAAAAACTATTTAAAAAAATTTTTAATTAAAAATTTTATGTGGTATAGTCATGAAAAATAAAAAATACTTTTTAAAAAATAAAAAAATAAATCCCTTACTACCTCCATAACCTTGGGCTATTCATTTGATTTCTAGAAGCCTCAATTTCTCCATCTGTAAAATGGGGACCATAGTGAGGACCCAATGAAATGAGAGCCCTTCAAGGTGAAGAGTTTCTACACCAACAGTCACACGGCTATGAGCTGGTTGACCATTTGAAGATCCTCAGTCGATGACACCAAAAGCCAAGAAGAAATTCCCTTTGGCTTCCAAGAGGCATGGTGAGCACTGCAGTGTGGGCCACTCACACAGATCAATCCTAACCCAAGCATGTCTGAGCTCTGCATGCTTAGTTCACATCCAGCTGGTCCCATGTAGAGATACTGCAAGAATATTTCTGCTTCCTGGGTTGGAAGGAGGGGCTTCCATTATGATCACTGCACACTTGATGTCTTAATATTGGTGTTTGCACCTTTCAGAAAGACCACACCACCAGGGAACGAGGATGCGGCCAGAGCCTCCCAGCCCTTCTTCACATAGAAGTTTAGCCCCTGAGTCTGGGAGGATCTCCTAGCCCTTAAGGCGTGTTGGCCTTGGGGTCTCTCTCCTCCCTGCCCAGTCTGGCTCTGCAGACTTTGGGGAACATACCTAGATTTGCTCTCTTCTGAGTCCAACGGTGATGCAAGAGAACAATGGGTTTCTACAGGGCAGCTCGGGTCACTTAGGAAGAGCAGGGTGGAGAAGGAGAAAAGGCCAGGGACCTGCAGGAGGCATTTGAACATGAGTTGTGATGGTGGGGAGGTGGGTAACCCAAAGGTGGAGGTGTGACCCCAGGCAGCCCAAGGAACACCTATGGCTGGGCACGTGCTCCCCCATTCATGTCTTGACAAGAACTGTCACTCCACACAAGGTAAACAGCAGAGCCATACTATACGGTGGGTCAAAGCTCTTTGACTAGCTTTCTGTATGTGTATTTCTTCTGCCCTTTATGCAGAGAGGTGAATTAATACCTCTTGGTGACGCCACCTACATTTGAAGTAGCCGCTAAATTTCCTTAAGCTCAAAAGTAAACTTTCTTTAATGGGTGATTAAACCAAGGGAAGCAGTAACATCGTATGTGATTCACTCACCTATGTTTTTTTCTATAAAAATATCTTAAGGAAAAAAAACATTTTGCTTATAAAGCTAAGCAAGTACAGGGCTTTAAAACAGTAAACCACTAAATACAAATTATGTGTCCTTAACTCAACTTCACTGTTATAACACATCCCCGTCCAACCCTGGTTGCTCTTCACAGAAAAATAATGAATTTCGTCCTTGGTCCTTTTACTCTGGGATCCATGACTGTGCTTCACGTCTCCTCTACAGCCCCCTCTCCCTTCCCACGGGGGCATCCCAGAAGCTGGTGTCTGCTCCAGGGCTCCAAACTGGAAGCACACAACATCCCTGTGCCTCCTGATCAGCCTCTCTCTCAGTTATCCCTCGGTTCTCCAATCGGCTTCTTAAAGGGGCAAACCCTTTACCTTCTGAAATTCTATTTTAAAAATAAATAAATAAACGAATAAACTATTACATGCTTTCAAAAACATTTACCCAGTTTTCTTTACAGTCCCCAGTGGAGCCAGCACCAGGCAAAATAATGAAGTAGAACCAGTGTCTTCTTTGGGCCAATCTCTTCCCTCTTTCCTTATGCTTCCCTCTCCACCCACACCTTACAAGTTAGGGTTCTTAGCTGCAAGCAGCAGAAATAAAGTCTGGCTGATTCAAGCCAAATAGAAATTCACTAAGAGGATACCGTATACTTCACATAATCTCTGGGAGAGCTAGAGAACCGAGTCTGGGACTCTGCAGCTAGAAGCAATTCCCCCAAAATACACCACAGAACTTGTCTAGCGAGAACACCGCCACCATGGGCACTGGGCACCATGGCTTGTGCCAACAGCACACGACCCCTGGATACCGGACTCAGCCTCTAGCTCCACAGCCACCACTGCCCCAGGAATTCAGACCACCTCCAGAGAGAGTTTACTGATCCCACCTCTTCGCGTCACTAGCTCCTATCCTGAGTCCAGAGGCAGGCATGTCTGATCAGCAAAGTCCAGGTCGTACACCCACATCCTGGCTACAAAGGGAGGCCCGGAAAGAGAAGACATGGTCTTTTCACCTTCAAAAGTGGCCGGCTCTACTGCCACCCATCAGAGCTAGGAAAGAAGGAATTCCCTAAACACGGGGCAAAGGGTCCAGACACTGGCCAAAAAGAAAAGTACATGCACACTACATCTCCTTTCTCCAAAGCCACTCAGCTCTTTTCTGCTCTTCCGACCCATGCAGAATGACTGCCTTGGTAAGCAGAGACGCAGTGTGCTATCCCTCAGAAACAACTTCTTTCTTACAGATGACCAAAGGAAAGGATAGTGTTTAACAGAAAGCATCCATGGAGAGGAGGTATTGTAGGACAGAGGTGTTCCCACACTTGACCCAGACAGCTTCTGACTCCTATGTCTAAAAGAGCACAGCACACGCTGGTTTTCACTGTCCACCGGAACACAAGATGCCTCGAGGCACAGGCCATGTGGTAGATTGTTTGCAAAAGTACTGCAAATGTTCCTCTTCCTGTATGTATCCTCCTAAGTATGACTTTCCAGCTCTTCCCACCTAGAAGTAAAGTCTATTTCCCCACCCCTTGAATCTGGGCAGGCCTAATGGCTTGCTTTGGCCAACAGACTGTAGAGGAAGTGATGTTGTACCAGTTCCAAGCCCAGGCCTTCAGAGCACTTGCCTGTCTCGGCTCATTCTCTGCCATGAGAATAAGCCCCAGCTAGCCTGCTGGAGAGAGGCCACGCGGAACAGATAAGCTGTCCCAACGAGGCCATCTAAGACCAGCCAGCTGGTCGCCGAGCGAGCCCAGCTGAGACCAGAACTACCCAGCTAAGCCCAACCCAAGTTGCCCACCCACTGATTTGAGAGCTAAATAAACTGGTTGCTGTTTTAAGCCACTAAATTTTGGGGAGGTCTGTTATGTAGCAAAAACTAACAGATATAGGACAGGCGTAGTACCACTGCAAAGCACCCTGGGCTCCAGACGTGATGCTCAGCCTGTATGGATAGAAGGGAGGCTGCAGATACAGTTGGTACTGCTCCCCACCAACACTCCCTCACCCTCACCATTTCAGTGCATGCCTGTCCAAATGCCAGTTGCCAGCACCTGTATCTCTGCTACCAGAGCCCACCTGCCCACCCTCACGTCAGGCCATTAGTGCCAAGCGGTCCTCAATCCATCACTGAGGGGTTAGTGTTTGAACACCCCAGCTCCCTTGCCCCTTGGGTATGCTGTGTCTGAGGCATGTGTCGTTTACTGGCTCCCAGATCATCCCAGGAGGATCAAGGTCCACCTACCCCTGGGGATAACTAACTTGGTAACAAACCCTTTATCGTCTGCCTTCCCTTCTCTGACTCACTTCTCCAACTCTCCCTTTGGTGTTTCCTGGGATCACCTCTCAGATAAACTACTTACACTCAAATCCTTATCTCAGAGTTTGCTTCTAAGCAACTCTGGCACTGAGATGGGGCATCCACACAGAAACACTTCTGTCATCAGCCCCTCAGCTCTGTGTTCCACTACTACCGCCCAACTCCAGTCTGGGAGTCAGCTGCATAGACACTGCCCACTATCCCACCCCCTGCCCCTGAGCACAAACACTGCAGCACAGCCCCTCACAAGGCTTCAGTGGCTTGAAGGATCACTTCCTCCACCATCTGGCTTTGTCAACAGTTACAGCTTTTTCCTTCACTCTCCAGTGAAGAAAATATGCCAACTGTCTCATCTCATGGTCTGGAGGGTGAAGGTGGTGGAGAAGGAAAGACTTAGAGGAGACCCAGACTTGGAACAAAAACGTGTGGAGCAGGCTAGGCTGTCCCCGCCTGTTCCTCTGATCAGATCTGAGCCCCCAACAGGACACTGTGGTCAGAGGAGCAAGTTCGGTAAACACAGCCCCAGACCCCAGGGCTCAGGGGCCATCTGCACAGCATATACATTCAAAGATACTTACCAGATGCCTGTTAGGCACCGAGTAGTGCTCTGGGTGCTAGGATAAAGTGCACGCATGCGTGCACACACGCACACACACACACACACACACACACACACACACGCACAACATATATCTATCCCCCAGGCCAGGGGCATCTGTCTTAGAGCCTCACAGCACAGAAGAAACAGAAGTGGGAATGGATTCTGGAGTCAGGCAGACTTGTATTCAAATCCTGTCTCCATCCTCAAGGAGCTGTGTGACCTTGGACATGTTGGTTAACCTCTCTGTGTCTGTTTCCTCCTCTGTGAGGCAGAGATAAATAGCAGTACCTATCTTACAGGGTTGTTGGGAAGGTAGACATATATATGAACCCTTAATAAGCCTCAGCTATTAGGACTAGTTTTCTTAAGGCGGTGCATCTCTGTTATACAACCTGACGTGTTTCCCACAAACTCCCACGAACTCCACTAACACAGGGCCCAGCAGGAATCTACATGAGAGAGGCCAGTGGTCTAAATTCCTTCAACATAGCCACCCTTTGTTTGCATGTTCTTCACTTCTATGAAGAATAGGCTTCTTCTCATTGCCTTTGTTTAGAAAAAAAGCCTTATTGGGCTTTTATTTTTCTTATTCTTGATAGAAATATGAGTACAGAGAAATATTTCTCTACCATTAGGGGGAAAAGGTTCAGGCAGTCCTGGGGACTTATAGGGAGTGGTGGGGACTGGGGCAGGCTGGAGAGCATGAGCCTCATCTTAAAGAAACTGGTGGCGCTTCCCTGGTGGTGCAGTGGTTGAGAGTCCGCCTGCCGATGCAGGGGACGCGGGTTCGTGCCCCGGTCCGGGAAGATCCCACATGCCGCAGAGTGGCTGGGCCCGTGAGCCATGGCCGCTGAGCCTGCGCGTCCGGAGCCTGTGCTCCGCAACGGGAGAGGCCACAACAGTGAGAGGCCCGCGTACCGCAAAAAAAAAAAAAGAAACTGGTGCTACTTAGATCCACGTGACTGACGCCACAATTGATGCCAAAGGGGACTTTGAGCCTTGCGTGGCCACAGATCTCCCAATATTTCCAGAGGTGCCAGACAACTGGATTATTATTTTTTAAATCTCTTCACTTTTTAAGTGTTGGCTCAAAATATTTAGAAATGTTCTGTACAGCAGCAGTCCCCAACCTTTTTGGCACCAGGGACCAGTTTCGTGGAAGACAATTTTTCCACAGATGGGGGTGGGGGGGGATGGTGCAGGCGGTAATGCGGGCGATGGGGAGCGGCAGGTGAAGCTTCGCTCGCTCGCCCGCCACTCACCTCGTGCTGTGTTCCTAACAGGCCATGGGACCAGTACCAGTCAGCGGCCCAGGGATTGGGGACCCCTGGTACACAGTGCAGTACATTTAATGGGTCCATGGGCTGACTCAGACCCATAGGCGGTGACATTGAGGCCTCTCCATCCTTTGCTCATCTCAAGGTCTCTGCAGTCTGAGCTTCATGATGCAGGGCTGCTACCCTACACAGCCTCAGTGGGCACCATTCACATTCGATTCCTTGAGACCTGTGGCTCAGAGCAGTAGCAGGGGCCCTCCCGTACCCACAGAGCCAGTGTGCAAGCAAGCCTTTCTCCAGACAGTTGCTGGCCCTTGCCAATCTCCCTCCTCTGATCCACTGGCACTAAATGTACTATCCAATCAGCAGGGTCTCACAAACTACTGACCTCTAATTATCTCAAGCTTGTCTTTTATTGTATCAGTATACAATGCTATCTGTATAGCATTAACTGATGGTTTCATTAGTTTATATCTCATCTCCCCAACTAAAATGTAAACTTTATGAACAAGGATCACATTTTATGTCTTTTTGAACCATATAACACCTTTATACTGTATTAGCACCCAGTACCTACCTATACGTTGACTGCTTCATCACAGAGGTAATTCTGAATTTGTTGCTATTGTGGGTGGCATGTGGATAATACTTCAGGCTACAGAAAAAATCTTTTCCAGGTACATGAAGAAAGAGGAATATATAGGGGCCGGTCCTAGATTTATCTAAAAAAAAATTCACCATCTGTATGCCTTCCATGTCAGCCCATGCCAGCCATAGAGCGCAATCCTGCAGCAGGGGGTGTTTTAATGTTGTCGTTGAGAGTAGCTTATTGTTAATTTTCTTACCGGTAAAATGGAATCATCCAGGCTTACTAGCCATCTTCTAGAGAGGCCAGAGAGAAGAAAGAATCCATCTCCACCATCTCCATTTATAAAGTATATTTAAAATCAGAATATTAGGTATGTTGGGGCTGAGTGCACTGTTAGGTGGCTAAAGTACATGAGAAAAAGAATCTCAATTGTTAATTTATGCCTGGGTTGAACTATTTATATTTAACCAGGCGATTATTTAATTAAACAGTCCATTCCCTTTGGGGTCTCCCTGTAGTCTCTGTAATTTGTTAGGCAGAATAAAACAACCCATTTGCCCTTGTATTTACTCTTCCCTTCTCAAGGCTACTTAAGTTTTTTTTCTATTTTAATAGGCCTAGAACCCCTAATAAAAGAGAGTTGAACAAACAGTCTGAGAGCAGAGGAGTGAATGCAAACACAAAGTACCTGCATCACAAGGCAGGCCAGCTGGAAGGAGTTTTGAAGATAACTGAATCCAACTCTCTCCTACAGAGGAAGCAACCAAGACCCAGAAAGGCTGGGTGACTCACCCAAGGGACCCACAGCCAGTGAGGGAGACTACCCTCATCCGATGCCCAGTGCTTGCTCCACTCTCATTAACCCGGGACACCAGGGCTCCTTCGAACCTCCCCAGCCAGGCTCTAGAAGGGCCTAGTCCCATAGAACAGTGGGCTTGTAGACTTGGATGCGAAAAAGCCTAAACCAACAGCAAACTCTTATCCATTCAGTATTTGTTGAGTGACTGCTAAATGCCAGGAGATGAAACACTGGAGGCAGAACAGTGAACAAGGGTCCAGGTGCCCGCTTTGCCAGATTTACCTCCAAGTTTAGTGGGGACGATAGAGGACAAATAAAAGAATACATGAACGTGACACTTACAGAAAGTGTCAAGTATTAAAAATACCCAACCAGGATGGTATGACAGAGTGGGGAGGAGGGGGCAGCTTTGGACAGGGTGTCAGGGAATCACTCTGCAATGTCCATGATGGGGGCGTAGGGGCGGGAGAACACGCGGGGTGGGCAGGGGGCCGGTGATAAGCACAGGGCTTTGGTTTGAACATTACCAGCAACAGGAAGTTGAGCATCTCCAAAGGCCAGCTCAGCTTGTTAAAACGTTCTTTCCTAGACCGAGCTGAAATCATCCTCCCTGGGACTTCAGATTTCAGTAACTCATTCTCATGAACGTCACAGAAAGGAGTCAGCTAAGAGATGTTAAACAGCATGTTCAAATGCTAAACACAATCCTCAAATAAGACAGTTGCTTCGATGTCTTAATTTAAAATGGCGTGTTTGGGAAAATACAACATACCAACGAGATGACTTACATGTTCTCAGTCAACCTCCAGTTCATAAAAGGGTTTCAAACCACCACTTCAAAGGAGGTTCAGACAGCCAACTTCTAGAGTCCTGGACCTGTCCACGTGAGTCACCCAACATCATCAACAAGACACACCAACTCCCTTCCGCCTAGAACCCTAGTTGGGGTTTTACAGCATCAAACATTGCTGCCCCCATTGTTCGAGGTGGCAAAGGGTATTTGGCTGTGCGCGTTTTGCTTTCTAAGATATTCGTGGAATCATAGAACTAAGAACTCATCTGGCCCAACCCCCTTATTTCATAGACAAGGAAATGGAAGCCCGGAAATGAGAAATGACCACTCAGGTCTATCAGCAAGTTGTGGCCAGGGTGGGACTTAGCTCCTCCAGCCCCAAAACCAGCTGGGCGTGGTCGGGCAGTTGCACTTAACAGATAACTCCCAGCTTTGCCTGCGTGTTAGGACAGACTTCCAGTCCTCCAGTGATTTCTCATGCATGTTTAAGAAGAGAAAGCCCACAGCGCAGAGACCTTCCAGACATCTGACTGCACGCTGAAGGGGCCGGGGACAGGCGTCGCTAGGTTGTGAGTGGGGAAGGGGTCCTCCACTGCACAGGAAGACCAGCTTCTGATCCAAAGCCAACCACAAGATGCAGAATGTGGGAAGAGAAGCCAAGGTCAGGGACCACACCGAAGCCAAACCTATTCCAGCTTCTATCTGAGTCCAAATATCTGATGGAACCAACTGCCTGGCTGCAATGCCTATAAGCCGAGCAGTGAAGTGGTCAGTAACACGAGAAGAAAGAGGGCTGAGTCTTGAGCCAGTCAATGAAGCGCCCGGGCCCTGCCCTCCTTCCCCCCACTTCAGGTAAGCAAGGGAGGAGTTGAGCAGTGGCGGAGCTGATTGGCAGGGCCTCCTTCTTCTGCCCTTGCTGACGTCTGCTGCTGGCTGGAGCTCTGAGAACGTAGCATTTTTGTCCCTCTGACCCCCGGCATTAGCAGGAATAAATGACTTTCTTGGGTGGAAGGAGAACGCTGGAATGCAATTCAGTAGTATGGGCAGCATCTCTCAGAAAAGGAAGCATCAGAAAAAGAAATACCGGGACCTCTCTGGTGCTGCAGTGGTTAAGAACCCGCCTGCCAATGCAGGGGACATGGGTTCAAGCCCTGGTCTGGGAAGCTCCCACATGCCGCGGAGCAACTAAGCCCGTGCACCACAACTACTGAGCCTGTGCTCTAGAGCCCGCGAGCCACAACTACTGAGCCCGCTTGCTACGACTACTGAGCCTGCACACCTAGAGCCCGTGCTCCGCAATAAGAGAAGCCACCGCAGAGAAGCCCGCGCACTGCAATGAAGAGTAGCCCCCGCTCGCCACAACTAGAGAAAGCCCACATGCAGCAACAAAGGCCCAACGCAGCTAAAAGTAAATAAATAACAAATAAATAAATTAAAAAAAAAAAAAAAAAAGAAACACCAACTCCAGCAGCCAGCCAGTGCCTTCCAGAGCAGACCCCAGTTTCAGGTAGACAAGAAGGCTGGTAGCTGATTAAACAGTAATCACCTTAGCCCTGCGGGGGGTCCCGCATCCCCAGGGTCTCCCATCGCTCATCAGGCAGGATGACACCCGTCTGAGCGGTACAATATTATTCTCTCCACCACTAGCCATGCGGCAGCACAGCCAAGGCAAGGACCTGGTTTTCATTCAGCTGCTGCACCAGAGGACGAGCCCAGTGCAGTTGCCATCACCATATCGTACCTCAGATTCCCCCCTGGTAAGAGAGGCAGAAAACAAGCCTTCCCTCTGCTCACCCCCCCGACCCCCTGGGCTGCAGAGAGGGTGACCAGATGGGATGGAAACATTCCACGGAGGGATGGGCTGGGAGGAGACAAATTCTCCTCCATAACTGTGGGTCCCCAGAGGACAGCAAATAGCAGAACCCAGACCTGCTGAGTGACCCCAATGCCATCGGACATCTGCCTCCCAAGTCGAGTATGGGGGCTGAGAGCTTGGGTGTTGGGGTCATACAGACCTGGGTCCCAGCTTGGTCATGTATGATAGGTGGTTGGGAATGGTGACTTCTCCCTGAACCTGACTTTCCGCATCTGTAAAATGGGTCTAATGATAGTACTCACAGGTACTGTCAAATGAGACCGTGTGACGGAGGCTGGGCCCAGAGCCTAGCATGCTTGGTCAGTCTACACAAATGCTGAATTGTGTAGGTTTTTTTAAATGTAAATTTTAAAGAATCGCCTACAACATACACAGCACATATGAGTTTGAGGGAGCAAATCCAGAGGGTGGGCCAAGGCAGGAAAGCATGCCAAGTGACGACACTGAAACATCTCTGCAAAAGGGCTCGGTCATCCTGAGGGCTACAAACTGCTCCCACACTCTCAAAAACACCTTTGTCCAGGGTCTTTTCACTCCTGAAGCTCCTTCCTCTCCGTGTCATCTGATCCTCACCACAACCCTAGAAGGTGGCCAGGGTGAGTATGCTTCCTGTGCCCCTGCTTTTAAGAGGAAAAGGAGCCTCAGAGAGGTTAAGTGACTTACCCAAGGTCACACAGCTGATAAGCGGCTGAGGAGAGTCACAGATGCAGGCTCCTGCCTGATAGGGCTGGAACGAGAGGGAGGCAAGTAAGGTGCCTGGGGCATAAAACGTAGAGGCACTTGCTGGCACGTGGGAGTGAGCATCTCCTTCACCTCGGCCCTGCTGCCTGACCCCAAGCCATGGGCCCTTCCCGGACCACAAGGCTGCTGCTCCCACACGCTGCACTTGCAGGTCAGCCCTGGGAGAACCCTCCCCCAGAGCCTTGGGGTGGCCACATCTACTGGCTGAGCAGAGCATCTTCCTCCGTCAGAATCCAAGAACATTTTCCCGGAGCCCAGCTGACGGAACCACTTCCCAAAAGAGTAGAACGGAACAGAGGGCGAAGGTAGTGCCATAGCGGCCACGTGAGGCTTCCACACACCCTTGAGCCTGAGGGCCTGGGAAGAGAGGCTGCGCCAGGCCCGCGGAGGCCTCACGGTCCCCACCAGCCTTAGGGAGAGATGGGCCGCGACAGGCAGGGCACGTGGGTGACTCCCAGGACCGTGACCCCGGTATGCTGGTCTACCCGGCCAAACTCTCCTCTCTACAGCCCCTCAGAGCCCAGCTAGGCCCCAGCTTGGCCTCCCTCGACCTCGCACAAAGTGTGAAAGGCACCAACCAGCTCCCAGAGATTTCTTTTGAATCTGCCAAGAGAAACTCTTTTCTAATGCGGATGGTCACAGGAAGTAATTAGCAGCTTGCCCCAGTCTGCATTACTGTATATTTAGCTTTTCTAAAGAAGCAACACCTGTGCACCAAGGGGCAGCGTCAGGTCATTGGCAGCTGTGTAGGCTTGAGAACTGATCTGCTGGGGTTCAAGTCCCACTTCACCTGGGCAAGTTACTCACCTGCTCTGGGCCAATTCTCTCCTTCTATAAAAAGGTAACGAGATCAGTACCACCATCTTCAGGTTGTTGTTATACAAAAACCAGCCACGACGTATTAGGTACCTATAACGGGCCAGGTACTGAATTTCTTTTTTCTTTCCTTATACGTATCTTTTTTTCTTGTATGTATTTTTTAACACTCATAGCAGCTCTGTTTCTATTCTTGAGGTGTAGCTTACATGCGGTAAAGTGCATAAATCTTCAACATGCAGCTCAATGGACTTTTTATGTGTATATACTCTACCTTCTAATCAAGTCTCTATCGATACAGGTCAGTACTGCCTGCTCATGAACTTCATATACATGAACTCATGTAAAATGTGCTCTTTTGTGGCAGGCTTCTTTCACTCAACTTTCTGTTTTTGCAATTCACCCATGTTGTTGTGTATATATGTCGTTTCTCCTTTTACACAGCTGCACGGTATTCCATCGTGTGACTGTGCTACAGCTTGTTTATCCACTGAACTAGGTGTTTGTCTTCACCTTCATCATCACCACCACCATCATCGTTATCATCATAATCCCATTTTGCAGCTGAGAAAACTGGGGCCCTGAGAAGCTCACTAAGTCTTTAGCCTGAGGTCTCGGAGTGTAATTGACTCCAAGCAGGAACTTGAATCCGGGTTCCTGACTCCAAAACCAACTCGTTACCTGGGCAACAGAGCCTCCCTTCCTCCTGCAGTGCTGGGGTGGGCAGAAAGGAACTCTGTTCCATGTGGTCATGAGCTCCTTCTCCCGGAGGCATCACTGGGAGTCAGGGGCAGCTACCTGACTGGCTTCTGGTGGTGAGAAAATTGCCTCAGGTTTGGCCATTGCCAATATTTATTTTTCACTGTCCCCCTGATAGCGCAGGTACCGCCGTCACTCACAACCCTGTACCTTGAGACCCAGCCTTTGCCAATATGTCGAAACAACTGCAAACAGCCTCAGCGTGGAGGAGGCATCCTCGGCCCCCAAGCAGCAGCTGGCTCCCGTGGGCCGGAGGAGGGAACCTGGCCCAGCATGTGGGCAGCCCCTGCCCTGGCTCCGCAGAGACTAATTTCCCACAGTGGTAAGTCAGATGTAACCCTTTGGGGCTCCTGCAGAAAGCATCGTAAGCCCTTGGGCCAGAAGGTTTCTCTGTAGACCAAGCTTTACCCACAAAGAGGTGGGTCACCACAGGGCCCCCCAGTGCTGACCTGACCTCAAGAAAAAGCCAAGATTTCACCCTGCTTCCCAACTCTCTGAGTCCCTCTTTGCTGCTAGAGGCCGGCCTGAGGAGGGCCATCTGCAGGGCAGCAAGGGGGTGGTGCAGAGCCTGGCTGGTCTCCCCTGCCCCTGCCCCTGCCCCTGCCCACTGAACTCAGGTAGTGTTTAGGTCAGTCCAGCCAGATGTGATTAAATGGTTGGCTACGTGCAGGGAGGGAGACCCTGGGGGAAGAAGGGCACAGGGCCAAATCCCAAGGTGGCCCTGGGGCACCCTTTGCCCTGTCAATCATTAACAGAAGCCACCCCATGACAGGCAAAGAAGGAGAAAGTCCAAGGGGGTGGCCTGCCCTCCTCCTGGGCACCATCCTCCAAACGCACCAATCCAGGGCCTTGTGGGACATGAGATCATGACACCCAGTGGAGGGGGTGTGTGCAGAGTCATCTAATCCAACTGGTCCTCTCTCAGGCCCCTGCAAAATCTCCACAAAGGCCAAGGGAGACAGGAACTAACACTGGTCGATTTGCAGTTACTATGTGCTAAGGACCATGCCAAATGCATTCAGTGTGCCAGCCTATGACATGGTAGGGAAATGCAGTCATGGAGCAGGCCTGCCTGGGTTCAAATCCTGACACTTCTAACTGTGCGACGAATGAGTGAACTTCTCTACGCCCCAGTTTCTCCATCTGCAAAATGGTGGTAGTACAGAACTTCCTCTGAGGGGTCACTTTGAGCATTTAACTGGTTAACACACATAAAGTTCTCAGACTACCTGCACTGAAGAAGAGCCGTCATTGCTGTGGTTCACTTGATCTTCACAGTCACCCCTCAAGATACAGATGGAAAATCCAAGATTGAGTCATTTGCCCAAGGTGCAAGCTGGCATTAGCAGAGCTGGGGTTTGAACCCAAGTTGAAGGGCTCCGACCTCCATGCCATAGAAACTTCCTCAGGCCGTGACCCCATCTGCCCAGTAACTGGTGCTTTGTGATCCAGTTGGCTGCAAAACCCATCTCATGTCTGCCTCCACATTCTCCCAAATGTCCTCCTTTCACCAGAGTGACACTGAGGTACAGCAGGCTCCCAACCTTCCTCCCGAAAATGAGGCTTCCAGACCTAAAAAGGTAAATCATTGCTCAGTGGCCAAAAGAGTTCATGTCTTTGAGCTGCTCCAAGGGAAGAAATTTAACCAAAAGCCAGACCATGAGTTGCAGGACCAACAGCCATGGAGGCCCTGCCCAGCCAGGACAGACCTTGTAAAGGGCCCCCAAAGAGAGATGCCCCAAGGTCCAGAGCAAGAGGAGGGGAAGTAGGCCTCACGCCCCAGGAAGCTGGCTGACAAAGGCAGGCCTGGCCTTTCCTGCTCCACTTCCCTCTGTGGAGGCCTTACTTCCAGCTCTCTCTGCATGGCTCCTATCTTCCCCGGCTCTAGAGGCACTCATGGAGGTCCCCCGCCAGCTCTGGGCTCACATCTCCCTGGATTCCCTGCCAGCCTAGAGCACAGGACTAGGGCTGCTGCCGCTGAGGCCTTTCATCACCTAATATCCTGGGAAAAGCATGGGCCCAAAAAGATTCTGCTACTTCATTTCCCAAGTAGCTTTGGACCTTGGTACCTCTTCTACCTTTAAGATCTATACGGTAAAAAATCAGGTTCTTGTGGTGACCATGCATGGGCTTGGGTGGCCTAAATCCCAGCCTGTGTGAGTTGCCCATGGAGACACTTAGGTGGGCTGAAGGGTCAAGTCCTGGGGACAGAAAGCTTCCCCAGGCCATAGGGAACCTCACCTCGCCTCTTCAGCCAGTGTCTTGCACTCCAGGGTCCCTGGGAATCAATGCTTCCATCTTTGTTATCACTCAAGAGACTGACTCCAATGGAGGGAATTCTGGGCTGGTCAGTGGATATGCTCAGCCCTCTCTGAACCCAACCGGTGTCTCCATGAGCTGGGGAATTAGAAAGATATCTGCTATATACTCAACTACTCCTACGGAAAACAAGCTCAAGGTGCGCTATTCTATGTCTTTTCGCTTTTAGTCAGAGAGGAAGCTCACGTGTCCCCACCACCACCATCACCACCCACCGCAAATACAAACACTCATTCCCTCCTCAAGAGACAGGAGGCCTAGGTTTCCTCCAGAACCAGGAAGGGCTGCTTTGCCCCCTCCTTCCACCAGCAGCCCCTGCCCTGAAAGAGGTAATAGTCCCTTTTTTCTACCTCACGGCCCTGCCCCCCAGCAGGCACCTGCTGGCCGGGGAAGGAAGAGTCGACAGGGTGCCTAAGGTAGGTCTCCTCCAAACTCAAGGATAGCCCTGGCCCAGCTGATGTCCGCTGCAGACCTGCCTGCCTCAGGAGAGGCCGGGTGGAATTCAAGTGGAAATTCAGCTTACTGCCCAAAACTTACTGAGCGCAAGGAACCGAAGGCAGCTAGGCCTCAGATAACAATATCCATCTCTGCCTCCTCGGAAAGAAATCCTCCCAAGAACCAGACTCAGGATTTTCAGAAGGATCCAACCTCTCTCTGGCAGGCAAAAATCCCCTCTAAGTGGTCATCTGACATCGATTGGCTGGGGTTCCTCTAGCCAAGTAGACCTCACCCTTCCCAAGATGACAGCCTACCCATCCTGCATGGCATCAGGGGTACAACGAAGACTAAGGCGGCAAGAACAGATGACTTCCTGTTATGCTGGCCATTTTCATACCCCTTCCTTTTAACAGCCCTCCAAATACAGAAGCGCATGTTGGGTCCAAGTGAAACCACCTCTGCTCCCAGTCCCTTGTGACTGAGCCCCCCACCACCCTGGAAGCTCCTCTCTGAGCCTGCAATGGCTCATCATACCCACCCCAGATAGGTGTTACGAGGCTAGGACTTCAGGTCAATTTCCTGTGGGAAAAAACAAGCCTGAAAAAAAAAACAACAAGCCTGGCAGGACTTCCCCGGCAGTCCAGTGGTTAAGACTCCACGCTTCCAGTGCAGGGGGAGCGGGTTTGATCCCTGGTCAGGGAAGTAAGATCCCACATGCCAGGTGGCACGGCCAAAAAAAAAAAAAAAAAGCCTGGAAGCACCCAAATAACACACTCAAATCCAAGTTTGCTGGAGTGCCAGATGCCACGTACCCCTCTTCACCATTTCAGCACACCAAACGTTACCCAAAGGAATTAAGACCACAGGCTAGGCAAGAGAAGACAGTAAGCCCCCGTGCCTCACTCTGAAGAACCTTCGAGGCTGCAAGCGCAGGTAAGGCTGGACCCTTGTCAACAGCCAACAACAGGGCAGATAATACAAATACAGGCTGCTTTGCAATAAACCTCTAACCACCCCCTCAAAGCTCAGCAGACTTCCAGCCTCGGCCAAAGGAACCAGCCATTGGTTTAGCTGTTAAGGATGAGAAATCAACCAATGCCCTCCCTCCTCCTCCCAGCACCTACATCGTCTACAAAGGACAACCCTACAGGCAGAGTAAAACCACAAACCAAGCAAAACCAGTTTCACCATCAGTTTCTTGAAAAAATGGGTTTATTGATTTTTAAACTGCAAATAGTCGTTACAAAAAGTTTTTTTTTCTTTTAAATAAATTCACACAAAGAAAGAGAAATAGAAAGCGACGGTAGTGACCAGCAAGAGGAATAATAATTACATTCATCTTAATGTGTGTGTGCCAGTTCTGTTTGCATTAACATTGGAAAACTCCAAAACCTGGAATCCAGAACGTCAAATCTGCAATCGGAATGTCTAGAGATGGGCACGTGAAGTCAAAGGGTTTCTTTTTTTTTTTTTTCCCTTTTAGAAGCTATACATT